CGAATCCCTCGGGTTATATCCCTGGAAGAGGAAACGTGAATGTTGCCTCCTGCCGTTGCAACAATTCTAAATCTCGTTCCCTCTTGGTAATAAAGTCGATAATCAATTCCATTTTGATTAATCTTCGTATCATTTTTGTTGTTGTTGTTATTGTTGTGATTTTGTGTTTGTGTTTCATTTTCGTTGTGTGTTTGTTTTTTGTCTGTGTCGTTGGATCTCTCTCTTTTTTATTGTAATATTTGTCAGGGAAATTGGATGCATTGGCACCTGTCTGATGGGAGCCTCAAACAGGTTCACTTAATAAAAAAAAATAAAAATAAAAAAACTTAGAAAATTCCTGGTACCGTGTCTTTGCATACTTATCAAATGTTGAACGAGTGACTGAAGCCTGGATGGAAGAAGAGGTGATGAATAAATAATAATAATAATGATAGATTAATGGAAATATTGGAAACATGAATACATTGTGGTATAGCTCATTTCTCGATGAAAGGAAAGGTATATGTGTTTTATATATTTTTAGCTGACACGCACACATAAAAATGTATGTATGCGAATATGCGATTATGTGTGTGTTTGAGTGTATATATATGTGTGTGTGTGCGTGTATGTGTATGTGTGTGTGTGTGTGTGTGTGTGTGTGTGTGTGTGTGTGTGTGTGTGTGTGTGTGTGTGTGTGTGTGTGTGTGTGTGTGTGTGTGTACAGTAGCTGATTTAAACCAGTTGGACCAATTACTCCTAACTGGCCCCCACACTTAAAAGGCCCCACACTGTGTTATTGTTGTTGAATACATACAATACATATTACTGTGATAATATAATGTCTCATTTATAATTTTCTATTGTAAAGTGTTTTTACGAAATCCGACGAAGATCATTTGTTTAATGTTGATAACTAATGTTTTGATTTTTTTTGGCAGATGAAAATTTTTCATATGTTTTCAGTCACTACTATAGAAACAAGCTATTTTCAAAGATGATTTACAAATTATGTTTACTTGGTAGGCTTACAAATACTGATCCACCCACACACACACACACACACACACACACACACACACACACACACACACACACACACACACACACACACACACACACACATACACATACACACACGCACATAAACACATACTTGTATATATATATATATATATATATATATATATATATATATATATATATATATATATATATATATATATATTAATGAACTTGTATGAACTTTAAGTGGGGTCACTGAAAAAGGCAAAAGAACAAAGTTTAACGACGAATTTTATTATTGGAGATAAAACTAAAACAAGGACTGCATTGCATTCATTGGGCAGAACTTTATCAATTATGCATACCACTACAAGGTATATGGTAGATGCACGTAAGAGAAATCTCTCTCTCTCTCTCTCTCTCTCTCTCTCTCTCTCTCTCTCTCTCTCTCTCTCTCTCTCTCTCTCTCTTTTTTTGTCTCTCTCTTTCAGCCATGCTGTCTCTCTGTCTGAGAGATATATAGATAGATAGAGAGTTAGATAAAGACAGGGAGAGAAAGACAGACAGAGAGATAAACAAAGGAAGTGAGCGAGAAAGAGAGAGAGAGAGAGAGAGAGAGAGAGAGAGAGAGAGAGAGAGAGAGAGAGAGAGAGAGAGAGAGAGAGAGAGAGAGAGAGAGAGAGAGAGAGGAAGAATTATATACATATATATATATATATATACATATATATATATATATATATATATATATATATATATATATATATATATATATATATATATATATATGTATACATATACACATATGTATATATACATACATATACACACACACAGATAGACACATGCACACACATACACACACATACACACACACACACACACACACACACACACACACACACACATACATATATATATATATATATATATATATATATATATATATATATACATATATATATATATATATATATATACATATATATATATATATATATATATATATATATATATATATATATATATATATATATATGTATATATATGTATATATATATGTATATATACATATATATATATATATATATATATATATATATATATATATATATATATGTATATATATATGTATATATATATGTATATATATATGTATATATACATATATATATATATATATATATATATATATATATATATATATATATATATATACAGAAATATACACACACACACATACACACACACACACACACACAGAAGACAAAAAACAAGACAGCCTTGACGCCTCTTTACTTATGCCTTCATTGCGATGCAACCAGGTGATACATAATGGCCATTTTCTTACTCAGCTGTTTTAGTAATTAAATTGTTCTAAATTTGTTTTTTTTTATTATTATACTTGTTCTTAGCTTATGTTAGTCTATTTTGCTGTATAATGTTGGTTATTCTATGGTAATGATGATGAAAATGCAATTCTAAATAGACATATAATTCATATCATAATGAGAAC